AAGGCCAGGCTGGACGGGGCTTTGGGCAATGCGGTCTAGCGGAGGGTGTCCCTGCCTGGAGCAGGGGGGTTGGAACTAGATGATCTTTGAGGTCGCTTCCAACCCAAACCATTCTACGATTCTATGATTATGAAACAGCTTAAATTAGTAAAGAATTCTCTTTTTACCACACGGCAATTCCTTGAAAGTACAAAAACTCCATGGCTCTCCTGGTGGTTTTGGGTTGTAGTTGAGAAGACATGGAATTAAATTTAATTAAACAATACCCCCTTTTTACACACATAGGCTTTTTTCAGTGCTGTGGCCAGAAAGAAACAAAGATGCTGTATCAAAAATGACATTACGCTGCGTAATACCTTGGTTTAGGTGCGTGGCCTCTGTAACCTGAATACCATTCACAGAACACTGCGCTCCATTCCGTGGTATTAGATTCACAGTACCGTTGAGATTTTCAAAGATGCAATGCTCACTTTCCAAATCAAGGCCATGAAGAACTAAATGCAAATAAATAAAATAATTAGTCTCCTAACACCTAGTAAGATTAGCATGCTGATATTAATTTATTAAGGACATATTGTACTACATATTTGAGAGTGTTCTTTTCTCTTTATGCTGGAAAATGTTTTTTTTCCATCCTTCATGACATCCTGCATGCCTTCAATGTCAATGCTGTTTATTGTTTTATTGTAGTGGAAAGAGAAGCGTGTTGGGTTACTTGAGGTTTTTTGGTGTAATATTCTTTCCTCCTATGTTTTAGCACCATATTAGTAAATGCTTCTTTCCTTCTGATAGCAAACAGGAAAGTAAAATTTACATATTTGTAGAGACAAGATTTTTTGGACTGGTTTCTGGGAAATAAGGACAGCTTCTTGACCTTAAAGCAACCATGCTTAAATCTGAAAAGACAGGATCTAATCTGCGATTGTAGACTAAGAGGGATGGCTGAAATAAGGTTCTTGTGTTCTATTATAGTCAGGCCTTTTATCAATCAGTTATGCTACTTTCTGTCTCTTCTTCAACTAATGTACGATTATCTCTACCTACATTGTTTAATACCGCAAAGCAACACAAGTTCACTAGTTTCATAAAATTCATACAGAAATTTTAATCCAGTAGAAGCACCCTACCTACTTTTTATCAACTTCCAGAATTTTCTTCAACTCAAATCTAAAGTCCAAAGACTGCTTTAGGTATAACAATACCATCATTATACAAAGGTTAAGAGAAAGACTGTGTAGTAATTGTGACAGGTGCTGTATGAAAAACAATGGTATTTTTGCATGATGCTCTTTCAAAAGAAGCAAGAAATAAGTTCGTAACAAGTGTATGAATATGAATAAGTTTTAGGCCCACAAGCTATTCTAGAAGTCATGGTCCTTGAAGCAAATCCCACTTCATTCAGCTCTCAAGTTTTCTAAAAATTAAAATATGGAAGAACATACAGACAACTAACTGAAAAAGGGAAAAAATATGAAGCTGTGTTCACATATTGGGGCTGAAGAAAAAATGCAAAAAAATTGCCAAATTCCATACCAATATCCTGTTCTGTCGCAGCATCTTCTCTGCCAACATATGTTTGACCCTCCTAATTAAGAGGAACACACATTATTTTCAGTTGCAATCTCCCTTCCTCCCCCACAAAGATATAAATTATCCTTCCACTTTCTCAGAGTAACCTGAAGGAAATATATGTTTAAATATACATGGAAAAAAAAAACAGGTAGCATTTTTAGAATGCTTTCATAGTCATTATTATACAATATTATTAGCAAATTCAAGTATCAACTGTCCTGTGTAGAACCATCTTTATAGTTTTGAGGCAATTCATGTAGATTTGGATTTCAAGTCAAGCTTTACAAGGAGATCAATGAAAAACTAATACACATGGGTAGGGGCATTAAACACCTATCTCTGGTTTGCCACTTGACCCTCAGGATAAACCTAAACAGTAAATTAACAGATATTTTAATTGAATCAGTTGCAACTTCTTAAGAGCTTTTCTTACTATGGTAGAGAAATGTAATGAGCATCACAGACAGCAAATTTGTACTACAATTTGTCTACTGAAAAAAAAATTAAAAAAAATAAAAATCACAAGGCATACAAAGGCTATGGGAACACGGATGTGTATTTACCTTCAAGTGATACAAGATGATACCAGTACTGAGCAAATCATCATCAATGCCAATGAGATGAGGCAGTTCAGAATCTAACACAACACCTATCCCTTCTTTCCTCAGAGCCAAGGTTTGTTCCTGTGAAGGACAAAAGTCTATTTATTAGGATATGCAAGAAATACAACTCTTCCTTCTCTTTCTAAACCACGTTTAACATAACTTATTCTCTGTATTGGTGATATCACCAAAAAAAATAAAGCTCAGGTTTTTTGGGTTTGTTCTGTTTGCTTTTGGAGGGGGTTGTTTTGTTTGCACTTTTTTTATACATTTTAAATGTGACTTTTATATTTCCATTAAGCACTCCAAGCTTGCTGTTCAGGAAATCTGTGAACGTGTTACTTGAAAGAAACCAGACAAACAGCTGAATTATACCAGATAAGGAAGATCACTCAAGAGCATAACAAAGCAATGTTGTCCAAAAGCAAGCTACGTACCACCTTGCATAATGGTAAGGACAATTTAAAACTCCTCAGAATTCAGTACAACTGAATTCAGTAGAAAACTGAAAACTCTTTGGCGATTCTTTAAATTAACTGAACCTTGCCGAATAAAAACCCCAGCCATCTGAAAATGTGGAAAGCCTAAGCAGTTAAAACATCATCCAATGTAAGAGAAGCACTGACAATAGTAAATACACGTAAGAAATATTTGCAGCACATCATTTCAATTCTTCAAAATTCCTTTGGGCCACATTGTACAGCCACCTGTACAATGAATGCCAAATTCATTGTACAGCCACCTGTACAATGAAGGATGTAGGATGAAGCATCATTCCGCAGGACAAGTTGGAGAATTCAACCTTGGATAGAACATCGTGTGATGTAGTACTGATCAGACAGTCTGTGCAATAAACAAGAAATTAATTATAGCTCTGAAACAAGTTTTAGTATTTATAAAGTTTATTTTTCAAGTTAAAAAAAAAAATCCTGTTGGCCTCTAGGCCTACAAAGTAACAGCAGCAGAGACTGTGAACATGTACACACACCGCCTTTCAAAATGAATGTGTTTTTCCACACAAAACAGCTAAGCCCTTACAAGCCAAGGAAGGCTGACAACCTAGGAAGGAGAAGCAATGCCAGCAAGTATCAATTCTGTGTGTTACAAGGCGCACGCTTTTCTCCTGGTGCTAGTAAACATGGAAGATAAGTTTTCTGACAGCAGCATGACTATTCCTTTTCCAAGTCACCAATATGCCTTCTCCAGATCCAACCAAGATACTACACTGTTTGTAAGAAAAACAAAACAGATAGATTTTTATACGTATTTTCCCAAGTACAGCAATTTGCAAATCTGAAGGAAGAAAACAGATGTAGTATCTCATTTCCCTGCACAGTATAAGACATCGTCAATATTGATACTGCTTAAAAAATTCTAAGTATGGGTACACCTGGGCAAGACGAGGTGATGACACAACATACAAAAGACACTCCAAAACAAAACCGGGAAATCCCACTCTGGTCATGGATGAATTAAAAAGTTTTCCAGCATTCAGACGGCAAGAAAGAAGCTGTGATTGATGTTGCCCTGCCTCTGACATTCAAACTGCACCTAACTATTCCTTGATATTATAAATGTGTCACCTCATAAAAACAAAAAATACAGTTTAAATCACTGTTCAAGTGAAAAAGTAATTTCAGTCAAAAATACCTATCACCTATCAAATATTTATTGAGTGGCATCTACTGTTATACATAATTTAGAATGTTCCCACATGATAAGGCTGAAGACTTAAAACACTGAGGACTGGTAGCCGTTTACACAACTGCTGGCACCTTCGGTCCAATGGAATTGATAAAATATTAAGGACCTGAACATTTTTTCCCCAGCATAACAAAGCATTTGCCAACATCTCTGACTAAGGAAAAAACAGACATCCCAGAAGGCAAAGAAATTATCACTGGGTGAGAGAAATCTCTCACAAATAATTAAGAATAAAGAAAAAAATGCTGCCGCATTTTCCAGTCTTTAATATTTAAAACATTTTTACTATATTCAGAAATAAAGCATGTATAACTGTGATTTAAAATTGATGTGTTGCTTATTTATTCAGATCCAAAATTAAAGAACACAAATTAATTGAGTTTCTAAACCCTTATTTTGTAAATGACTACCGCTCACATACAGAATACATCCCATTACTGGAAGCATTATAAATGCAATGGACAGTAGCTGAGATTAACTACATTTTTTTTTTTCCTTTAATACTTGTTGTAAGGTAGCTTTTCTCTTCAGACACAATATTCTAAAAATTCTGAATCTTAATTAGATACCTGGAATAACTGCTAAACTTTAATTGTTTGGCTTAAAATTTAATTCCAATTTCAAAACTTCTGCAAGGATCCCTCCAAACGCCAAACTGCCCTTTTGCCCCAAACAGAAATCGTAGAAACTTCATCAACAATAGATCTTTATTACTCTGTTCTCTCACAGTGGAAAAAAAAAGACAAGAAAAAGACCAGAAAGAAGTAGCCAAATTGCCCCTCTTTCATCCTCGATGGCATAGGAAGGATGTTTCTAAAGGGGGACAGACCTCTTTTGAAATAAATTGAAGATCTGTAAGCTATTCTAAGGCAGAGAAATGATTAGGTTTGAGCTATGATTTGATTCACTTTCATTTGTGCAACACAATTTTAAAAAGCAGTGAATCCATAAGTCAAATGACAAGAGCAGGAAAGGTCGCTGTCCCTATTTAAAAAAAAACAAAACTAATTCAGAAAATTTATTGAAACCTCAAGGTACAGTTTAAGAAAGCTGAATGTACTGCATGCATCTTAGCTTGAATTATCCTTGAACAGAAAAGGGTACAAATATTCCCTCAGTATTTGAGATGCATTCATAAACTATGGAAAACAAAGCAAGCTGAGTATTATCTACAAAGGAGCACTCCAGTTAATATAAATGGCTACTGTGTGAGGAGAGAGGAAAAGGAAAAACAAGAAAAAAGGAAAAGAAAAAAAAAAGAAAAAAGGTAAAAAGGCTTCCTTCTTTAGGAGCCGCTAGATCAAATGGGTTTATTTGAAGAGTAGAAACTCAGAAAATAATTCTGACTCAGTACATAACAAAACACTTTCTTGAGTCAAAGTTAAAATGAGGGGATTATATTGTATATTTAAATGATGGTCTCTTCAAATTCAGCTCTGACTCAGCAGTCAGAAATATCCTGATATAGTAAATGCATTAACACTTCTGTGAGAGCTATTGTGAAATCTCATGTCTTCTGCACTGATGTATTAAGTTTGCTGTATTAACCCACACGGAGGCATCTCCAAGCTCACAGCTAAGACATGTTCTGGTAGTTCAGGAACAAAATCTGTGTGTAAAGTACTTATTCAAGCCGTAGATTTAATCTTCATCATATACAACTGCCCATGATAAAGAACACCTCTAAGATACATAGGGTTTCTTTAAATGTATTTCTTTAAACGCACACACAAAAATGGAATCACACAAGCTTATTTTCTTAAACAACAGCACACTGAATTAAATTAAAAAATAAGCCCAAAACACATTTCTAATATTCCTTGATCAGTAGAATGAAACATATGCTGCTACTGGCCCAGCACACGTTAAAGAGTACACGTAATTAGTACACTGCCCTTTTAATGAACAGAACCCTCTTGGAGGAGTTTAATTTCTGTTACACTCTCCATTGGAAAAAACTCAATTCTTTTATTTAAATATTGAACAGTTAGCTGCTGGCACACAGTCCCAAGAATACACTCTGCAGACACTTTCAGTAAAACATAACATTATGCTGGCTAAGTAAATTGTCCAGATGTCTATATTTAAATTATGCAAAAGCGCGTAATACCAAATTAAAGAAATTATGGGTAAAAATGTGCAACGGCAAAAGTCTTTGCATTAATATTTAACCAGACTATACTGAGGCAGATTCTTATGCTAACAGGTACTTTGGGTGCATTTGCTTTCAGTGAAAATATGCTATTATATCCTGAGTTCACAAAAACGTCTGAAGATACTCAGTGGCCCGGCACTAACATTAAGCTCTCTATAAAATATACAGATGTAAACTGTACACAAGGGAAGTTCTTAATTCTTAATTGGTTTTCCTCCAGTTATGTATTCAGTACACTTCGTGTTCCTTTAAATCACTGGAAACAAATGTTTCATACCTACAGAAAAAAATATGCCACACTGCTCAGTATTCAAAGGCAACTAAAAACGTTCATTTCCAAAGCCAGCAGACACATGGCACTAAAGAGGCTGCGCAAACAGAGAGAATAAGAAATATGGATGAAGCAGCCTCAGCTGGTCACTCCATAATCAAGGTGGGTGAAAAACCCAGGGCTTCACTCAGTGAAGTCAGAAATTTATACATTCTCCATCCCAGAATGGCAAAAGGTGACTTACAATTACAGCTCCATTGCGGAGGTTTTGCACAAATCTAAGCAGCTGAGGGTTGTACTAGTGAGTTACAAAAAAACCAAAAAAAAAACCCCGAGATACGCCTATACCAGGTAAACCAGTTCATACACGCGTGCTCTAAAAGGGCTACACTGCTCACGTTTCTAGAGTTTGCCCTTTCAAAAAAGGGAAAGGGAGGGGGTAACTGCAGGGCAGGACCATGATGAACACGTACAAAACCTGAGCAGGGGAATTCCCAAACAAGCAGCACTCACTTGCTGTTTCTTATACGAGGGAGTGGAAAA